TAGTTTTTTGAGTTTTGATTTATTTTTAGATTATTTATGATAGTTTGTACTAAAATATGAGATGAAATATATAAATAGTTGAATTGTAAATTTTAAAGATATTTTTAGGGAGTTTTTTTGATAAATCCATTTTCTAAGAGTTTTATTCCATCCAACCCATATTCTTTTTGACTATTCCATTAGGTCCAATTTGAGATAAGAAGACCAAAATACCCTTTTCATCTATTTATGTTCCATTTAATTCACATTATTTTCTTATGTTTCAATAAGTCCTATGGGTGACATAATTACCAAAATACCCTTAATGTGAATGTTCACACCGTCAATATAAATGTTTATATCGCCAATGTGTAGGGGCCCAGCTCATGTCGATTCTCGTGGGTGCCCGAAAAAATTCGAGTCGGGCCGGCCCGGCCCACAAGCCAAAAAAATAGGCCCGACCCGGCCCGTTGATAATATGAATATTCACATTGACAAGTTAACATTCACATTGATAGGAGTGTAAAATTGGTCTGCGGCCCGTGGGTGGCCTGAAACCAGCTCGTCGCCTGGGGCGGGCCCGGGCCGACCCGTTCACAATATGAACATTCACATTGACATATTAGCATTAACATCAACATTAACATTGACAAGAGTGTAAAATTGGCCCATGACCCGTAAGCAGCCCGAAGCCCGGGCCCGGGCCCGAGTCAGAGTGGACCCGGCCCGGTCCGTTGACAATGTGAATATTCACATTGACATGTTAACATTCACATTGATAGGAGTGTAAAATTAGCCCGCGGCCTGTGGCCGGCCCGAAACCCGCCTGTGGCTCGTGGGCTGCCCTGGGCGGGCCCGGCCCGACCCATTGATAATGCAAATATTCACATTGACATGTTAACATTCATATTGATAAAAGTATAAAATTAGCCCGCGCCCCGTGGCTGCCCGAAACTAACTCACGGCCCGTGGGCGGCCTGGGGCGGGCCCGACTCGGCCTGTTGACAATGTGAATATTCACATTGACATATTAACATTCACATTGATAAAAGTGTAAAATTGACTCGCGTCCCATGGGCGGCCCGGGACGAGCCCGGTCCAGCCCGTTGACAATGTGAATATTCACATTGACATATTAGCATTCACATTGATAGGAGTGTAAAATTGACCCGTGACCCGTGGGCGGTCCGAAGCCCGCCCGCTGCCCAGGGCGGGCCCGGCCCGGCTCGTTGACAATGTGAATATTCACATTGACATATTAACATTAACATTGATAAAAGTGTAAAATTAGCCCGTGACCCGTGGGCAGCCCGAAGCCCGGCCCCGAGCCGACGCGAGCCCGGTCCGTTGACAACGTGAATATTCACATTGACATGTTAACATTCACATTGATAAGAGTGTAAAATTGACTCGCGACCCATGGGCGGCTCGGGGTGGCCCGGGTTTGGGTCAGGGCCTACCCCGGGCCGCGGGCGAGCTTCGGGTAGCGGACAAGTTTTACACTCCTATCAATGTTAATGTTAACATGTCAATGTGAATATTCACATTGTCATGGGTCAGACCAAGCCCGCCTCGGGCTGCGATTGGGCTTCGGGCCGCCCACGGGCTGCGGGCCAATTTTACACTCCTATCAATGTGAATGTTAACATGTCAATGTGAATATTCACATTGCCAAGGCCGGGCCGGGCCTGCCCTGGCCCGAGGTCGGGCTTCGAGCTGCCCACGGGTCACGGGCCAATTGTACACTCTTATCAATGTGAATGTTAACATGTCAATGTGAATATTCACATTGTCAACAGGCCGGGCCGGGCCCGCCCCGGGCCGCCCACGAGCCGTGGACGGGTTTCGGGCAGTCACGGGGCGCGAGCTAATTTTATACTCCTATCAATGTGCATGTTAACATGTCAATGTAAATATTCACATTGTCACGAGTCGGGCCAAGCCCGCCTCGGGCTGCGGTCGGGCTTCGAGGTCGCCCACGGGCTGCGGGCCAATTTTACACTCTTATCAATGTGAATATTCACATTGTCAACGGGCCGGCCCGAGCCCACCTCGGGGCAGATTTCGCGCCGCCACGGGACGGGGGCCAATTTTACACTCCTATTAATGTGAATGTTAACATGTCAATGTAAATATTCACATTGTCACGAGTCAGGCCAAGCCCGCCTCGGGCTGCGGTCGGGCTTCGAGGTCGCCCACGGGCTGCGGGCCAATTTTACACTCTTATCAATGTAAATGTTAACATGTCAATGTGAATATTCACATTGTCAACGGGCCGGCCCGAGCCCGCCTCGGGCAGCGGACGGGTTTTTGGCCGTCCATGGGCCGCGGGTCAATTTTATACTCTTATCAATGTGAATGTTAACATGTCAATGTGAATATTCACATTGTCAACGGGCTGGACCGGGCCCGCTCCGGGCCGCCCATGGGCCGCGGGCGGGTTTCGCGCCGCCACGGGATGGGGGCCAATTTTACACTCCTATTAATGTGAATGTTAACATGTCAATGTGAATATTTACATTATCAACGGGCCGAGTCGGGCCTGCCCTGGGCTGCTGTCTAGTTTTATACTCTTATCAATGTGAATATTAACATGTCAATGTGAACATTCACATTGTCAACAGGCCGGGCAGGGCCCGCCCACGGGCCGTGGGCGGGTTTCGGGCAGCTACGAGGTGCGGGCTAATTTTACATTCCTATCAATGTGAATATTAACATGTCAATGTGAATATTCATATTGTCAACGGGCCGGCCCGGGGCTGTGGGCAAGCTTTTGGCCGCCCATGGACCAGGCCCGCCCATGGGCCGCGAACGGGTTTCGCGCCGCCACGGGACGGGGGCCAATTTTACACTCCTATTAATGTGAATTTTAACATGTCAATGTGAATATTCACATTGTCAACGGGCCGGGTCCGCCCTGGCTCGCGGGCGGGTTTCAGGCCGCCCACGGGCCAATTTACATTCCTACAAATGTGAATTTTAAAATATAAATGTTCACATCATTAAATTGCTAATCGTTGAAAAAATATTTATAAGGGTATCAAAATTAAATATAAGGGCATAAGTGTCCAAGAAAATAGTGTAAATCAAGAAAATGGACTTTATGGAATAAAACTATACATACATGGGACTAAATGTGTTAAAAAATTTCTTCATGGACTTCTTGGGTTAAAACACTTCTAAATTGGACTTATCAATAAAAATCTCATATTTTTATAATGACAATTGTATCATTGAAAATTATAGCAGAAACTTATTCGTAATAAGTTTAGTCTATGAGACATTGAGATTGGCTTGTAACTGCTCCTTATGTTTACGTGTAATTAGGGTTGTAATTTGGGAAGATTAAGTCAAGTTAAGAGTCTATCAAAGTTTAGTCTAAAAGTTTATCCAAAGTCCTAGCTCAACCTGTCCTCAAATTTGCTTACGTAAGTTTGAATCTGAGTTTATCTCAAAAAATTTGGACTAATTTAAATAATAGATTTGTAGTAATGCTATCTAATTTGGTTCAAGTTTTAACCCACCTAGATTGTTCTTTTATCATCAAAATAATTTTTTTATAAGTGACTAATACAGTACAAGCAATATAACAAAATTACACTAATTAAAAAAAAGATTAGAATATAAGCACCATTGTTTAAAACACACATTCTAAATTAGGTTTGCACATACATTAGCCAATCAAATACAAATCCCAAGCCAAGCCATTAACGTTAAGTTTAACTATTATATACCATGTTTTATTTATAATATGATGTGATATACTTAGATCATAAGTTCATTTACAGTATTACCCACATTGTGTTGTTGATGCTGTTGGCGTTTTTTGTAATATATATATATATATATATATTTGGTGGAGTTAACAAAAGATTTATTATTTTAGATAATTCCCATTAGCTTTTGAATTCCACTAAAAGAATGAAAAACGTAAGGGGAAGAGCATGAGAATAGCTCATGATTTGATGTGTTTGTCCCACCCATGCCTATCATTAATTATTCTAACAATCAATTGGTACACTATTATATTGTTGTGCGGTTGATTAAGCAAATTTTACTTTTGAACAAAATTTGGATTTGTCTACAACCTTTTATAATCCTAGGATATTTTAAGACTTTACATAGAGGAATAATATAAGATTTTATATGGTTTAGATCACGCCCAAAATAATAATAAGAGTACCGTTATCATACTCCTAACAATAGGGTAATACTATGCACCATTGGTTATGACTCTTATGATATTCCTTTATGACCTATAGTGATATTAGCTATGACACATTATAATGTTAGTTATAATATTATTTTAACTATGATCTCAAATTTTTTTGATTATATCTCATTTTATGGTTATAACTTCTTCTTTTTTTTCTTTTACTTACAATACTCGTAGAATTGAATTATGACATTTCAGATAATCAAACTCACAAATATCATAATTTACATATGATACCTACCCTTTTCCCCACAACAATAATTGAATTTTGTCCTAAACTAATGCTGAAAGTTGATGTACTTGTGATGTATCTAATCTTCTACTCATATCTTTTACATCAATAAATTTTATTTTCATCAATTAAAAATAATAATAATACTGAAGGCTTTCGAAAGCTCTGTAATCAAACTAGTTGCATAATTGGTTGTTAATTGGAAATTATAAGTTTTATGTCGACGTTGCAAATACTTACTACTGACTTCATTAGATGTTTTTGCTTAGATTGATTCACTAGTATCAACCCATAAAAGCTCTTCCTCTGTATCTCTCTCTTGTTCACATACACCAAATTTTACTACTACTAGTTTTTGCTACTAAAAATGGAAGTTACACTTCACTTAGTTGCAGTGACATTTGGTTTGATTGTTTTGGTAACGTATGTGTTAGTATTATAATATGTATTAGATAGCGTATGTGTTAGTATTATAATATGTATTAGATAGTGCAGATAGTGCATTTGCTTTCAGTTCCTTTCGACTACTTTCCCATGATGGTGTTTGCATCATGTAGCATAGCATCTTCTCTCCTATATAAAGGAGTGTGTGTACCTATTCAAACATCCAATATACAATATCCATTAATACACAATTCTCTCTCTTTCTCTATACATTAATTTAATATGGTATCAGAGTTATAAGATTTAGGCCTATATTTCTTTTTCACCGACGAGCAGTGGGCCGACAACCTTACCTTCGCTGCCCGCTGGAGTTTTCTACACAGCCATCGACATCAATAACCTTCAAATTCTTCTTCTGAGCGACAAACGTGTTTGCTATTGGAAATGGTTGGAAAATTTTGGGTAAAATCAGAATTTTTTCCTAACTTTGGTCTATTATTTAGGTCAGACCCGAGCGTTGATTTTCGCGGGTCAAAGTGGTAACGCCTTCTATATCGCGTTGTGATTCACGTGGTATATTTGGTTGCTCAAAACTATTACCGAGTGAATGAAAAATTGAAGCCAAAGTGTGCTCCATAAAAATGGAGTTTTGATGGAAAATCCTTAAAGGTTTGAATAAGGCTTGTCCCACATTGATTTGGTGGGAAGTTTTGAATGAGTTTATAAAGCATGAGATTGGAACTTGGGGTGTGCCCCAAGGGGTACCCAAGTGTTTTAGAGAGGGAGGCTATGGGAAAAATGGGCTAGACCCATTGGACCCAAAAATCACCACACGCACGCACGCGCGCCGCCGTCCGTCTAGCTGGGCTTGGGCGCGGTTTAAGATTGGGTTGGGCTTCAAAAATATTTGAATTTAATTTTATTTTTAAAAAAAATAAAATCCAGAATTCAAATTAATTTCGGAAATAAACTGATCCGGTTTTTCTGTACACCCAAACAGGTCCCTTCCCGTTTTTATCTGTTTGGATTTTGAACCCAACAGATTTAAATCTATTTAATTCAAAACCAAACAGGTTTCATACCTGTTCAAACAGGTTTGCACCTGTTTAATTCAAAAGCTGTAGCCACCAATACATCTATAAATAGGACAACCCTCATTTGATGTTTTACATTCAAAAATTTCGTACTTCACCTCTGCAAATGTGTTCTTCATTTTACTGCATTTAATTTTTGTGAGAAAGAGTATAAACACTTAGTGTGTTTGTTGAAAATCAAGCCACGTTTTCATCAGATGCCATATGCATCAAGCCCTTTTTCTTTATTTCATATGCTTTCGGTGATTAATTTATTTCATATGCTTTCGGTGGTTAATCAAGCTAGTTATTATAATAATAAACAGAGTGTATGCTGATATATATGTAATATATATTAATGTATAGTTAAATATGTAGTGGCCTCGTGGCCTGCTTGTTTGTGTTTTTGGCCTCGTGGCCTCATGGCCTCCATCTGATCATATTGTATAAACCTCCTATATAATGGAGTAGCATTGTAAGGCTTAAGATATGGAAATAAAGAGTCTATGTTTAGTCTTTCAATCACTCTCTCTCTCTCTCAATATTAATATTTTCAGTGTTCGTTAGGCAAACAATTTGTAGTGCTGCTATTGTTTGTAGTTGATCATTTCATCCTGGGAGATAAACATCCACATTCTGAAAGCACCGAGGAGAAGACAAATCTATCTTAAGGACACAGTGTCAAACACTGAACTTGATCAGAATAATATTCATGATATTAATCAAGTAAATTATTTATTTATTTTTCTGTTTTTATTATTTATTTAAATCAGATTTTAATTTTGTTTTTGTAACAAAATAAAATCTTGTTTTATTTATTTAATTCTGTTTCTAATTTGATTTTTTTAATTAAACAATTTTCTTCCATTTTCTTTATTTCTTTTATATTTTGTTTATTGTTAAATACCCAAACAAAATTAATTAATTTAAATACAGTGAAAATTGTCCAATATGTACCTCTGTCACGAAGCGCCTTGTAAGCTTCAATGACCAAAACGACCTCATTTGCAGACTTGGCTAGCCCATATTGCTGCTTCAGGCTCCCCAAGTTGTCAAGTGCTCCCTCAAACAAGCAGAATATCTCATCCTTCACTGCAAATGATCTGTCAAGTGCTCCCTCAAACAAGCAGAATATCTCATCCTTCACTGCAAATGATCTGGGCTGTAAAGGAGACTGGTTGTGATGAGTATAGGCTAACTGAACATCGTCTCCGATCTGCATGGACACCGCCGATTGATTGCTGTCCAGAAATCGCTTCACCAGCGTCGTCGCCATTATCTTCGGCGATAGCGTCCTGCTTCCGGCCGCCACCAGCTCTTTCGGCGGCAACACAATTGAGCTGCTAAATACTCCCAACATGGCTACAGCCAGCTCCTTCCAGTGACCTTTCCAGCTCCTAAAACCCAGCCAAAGCCTGCTCCAGTAACCGGAACCACACCATCTCAAGTTTCGTCTTCCGCCACCACAACCCCTCCTATGCCAAATCCACGCCCAGCAGCTATTCGAGTTTGCGGACAAGTATAGGGGCAAATATGACAGCAGCATCACCGTGGCTCAAAAGTACTACCGTTCTGTCAGTGGATACGAAGATGAGTTACTATGGGCTGCTGCATGGTTGTACAAGGCTACCAACAACCAGTACTACTTGAGCTACCTTGGCAACAATGGTGATTCTCTTGGTGGAACCGGTTGGGTCATGACCGAGTTCGGATGGGATGTCAGGTATCCTGGTGTTCAAACTCTTGTTGCCAAGCTTCTAATGGGAGGCAGAGCCGGTCACTATGCACCGGTGTTTGAGCAGTACAAGCAGAAAGCAGAGTTTTTCATGTGTTCATTTCTTGGAAAGGGCACTCGCAACGCTCAGAAGACTCTCGGTGGCCTTATTTTCATTCAGAAATGGAACAACTTGCAGTTTGTTACCAGTGCCTCTTTCCTCCTCCGTGTCTACTCCGACTCGGTTGAGAGCGTTCGGTCGGTGGTGAATCTGGCCTCGATCTGACGCCGATCTCGCCGGAAACTGGCCTTCTTCATGGCACTAGTGGACACAGCAGTTCTAAGCAAAACCCTCTTCACAATGGCACCATCACCGCCACCAACTTCTGCCATTGGTGCGTCTGTGAATTTCCCTTCCTTCTGTGCTCTCCTCAGCCGCATCACCCTCCATCATCACATTCTTTATTGCATTATGCTGTCTCCACGACTTTTGAATTTTCACTGATAATCATCTACTTCACTACCTTTTGAATATGTGGTGTACCAGCTGTCACCTCGTGGGCTTGTTCCCACCACACTATCATAATATATTATAGTACGCAATACCAGTCCACAGATTCAAACCACTTCTCATTTTTCAAATTTTTGTTTTATTTCATTACACACAAAAATCAAAACAACAAAAAAAAAAGAAAAAAAAACAAAACAAAACAAAACAAAACCACCAACCACAAACACCGACCTTACTTTTTCGCCTCTTCCATTGCTCTCTTCCTCTTGCCTCCGCCTTAGGCGTCCCTTGACGGCCCTGCCTCCATGCTTCCTAGTCCACCGAGCACGTTGCTTCCCCGCTGCTCCTCAAATGCAGCATATGGCGGACCTCCGAATCGGAACATAACCTTGGCCTTCCATTTTAGCTCCTTGTTTTTCACCTTTAGTACGCATATCTCTGCTCACGCATCCTTATACATGATCTTGAGCAGAGCGAGTTGGGCATTTAACTAGTGCACCTCACTAGTTCTATTTTGTAGCCGATGCGACAACTTAGAGACCGCAGTCACTGTCTCCAAGCACGACTTCAGCATAAAATGGTTGGCTTCAATGTCCGTTTGCGCTGCCATTATTTGATCCACTGACAGTATTGGAAAGTTCAACAAAGCAAAGGCAACTGTACTCGGTCCAAGGGCGCTTGGTTGCGCTTCAAGGGCGACAGAACCGGTTATCTCTATTGTGGACTCATTCAGGTCAAGAAAAAGAGTGAGCGAACCACGATAAGAAGAGGCCATGTTATGTCAAGGGTTGCAGAGTGTTTCAGAGAAGTAGAGTGTTTCAGGGAATGTCAGAAAAGGTTTGTAGTTATTAGAGAACGAAAATATTTCAGAATGGTTTGTTTTGTACTGCCTCTATCCAGTCTCAATCTCGATTTAAATATCCAGCCTCAATCTCAATTTAAATAGAGAGTGAAGAGACGAAGACGACAAACGGGAGCGAGAGCCACGTGAATCGCGCGACACTCGAAGCCACAGTGTCATGCGCGACTTTTAATGTATTGGAAACAACTTTTGAGGGCACGACTTTTGAGGGCGTGATATATATATACATGTATATCTTTGGGCAGCTTATATACACGATCATACAGTGTATTCTCCAATGGTCCGACACGACCACACAGTGTCTTCTTCAACGGTCCAACACGACTACACATTGTCTTCTACAACAGTTCGACACAACCATACAGTGTCTTTTACAACGGTTCGACACGACCTCACAGTGTCTTCTACAGCGGTCTGACACGAGCCATACAGTGTCTTCTACACCAGTCTGCCACAACCATATAGTCTCTTCTACAACAGTCTGACATGACCATGCAGTCTCTTCTAGAGAAAGAGAGAGAATTGTATATTAATGGATATTGTATATTGCATGTTTGAATAGGTACAAACACTCCTTTATATAGGAGAGAAGATGCTATGCTACAAACATGATGCAAACACCATCATGGGAAAGTAGCCGAAAGGAACCGAAAACAAATGCACTATCTGCACTAGCTAATACATATTATAATACTAACAGCCCCCCTCAAACTCAATGAGGATAGGTACCAACCAACTTGAGTTTGGAGAGAGTAACAAAACGGGAAAATAAATAAAAATAGGATAAGACACACTGTATGGTCGTATCAAACCATTGTAGAAGAGACTGTATAGTTATGACAAACCGGTGTAGAAGACACTGTATGGCTCGTGTCGGACTGGTGTAGAAGACACTGTGAGGTCGTGTCGAACCACTGTAGAAGACACTTTATGGTTGTGTCGAACCGTTATAAAAGATACTGTGTGGTCGCGTCGGACCGTTGTAGAAGACACTGTATGGTCGTGTCAGACTACTGTAGAAGACACTGTGAGGTCGTATCAGACCATTGTAACAGACACTGTGGTCGTGTCGGACGTTGGAGAATACACTGTATAATCGTGTATATAAACAGCCCAAAGCTATACATGTATATATATATATATATATATCACGCCCTCAAAAGTCGCGCCCTCAAAAGTTGCTCCCAATACATCAAAAGTCGCGGATGACACTGTGGCTTCGAGTATCGCGCGATTCACATGGCTCTCGCTCCCGTTTGTCGTCTTTGTCTCTTCGCTCTCTATTTAAATCGAGGCTGAGGCTAGATAGAAGCAGTGCAAAACAAACCATTCTGAAATCTCTTCGTTCTCTGATAGCTGCAAACCCTTTCTGACATTCTCTGAAACACTCTGCTTCTCTGAAACACTCTGTAACCCCTAACATAACATAGCTTCTTCTTAGTATTATAATATGTATTAGATAGTGCAGACAGTGCATTTGATTTCGGTTCCTTTCGTCTACTTTCCCATGATGGTGTTTGCATCATATTTGTAGCATAGCATCTTCTCTCCTATATAAAGGAGTGTGTGTACCTATTCAAACATGCAATATACAATATCCATTAATACACAATTCTCTCTCTTTCTTTATACATTAATTTAACCGAATACATGGAAAGTTATGAATTCAATGTGGTCGAGACCAAAGAAGATTGAGAGGTTACTGAGAGAACAAGGTCTAGAGGGAAAATCCTTATCGGTTGTATTATAGAGACACCAAAGAGATGTTCAAATTGTTCAAAGAAGTCAAAAGTAAACCTCTCAATGTGTCTGATGATACTCCATATGTTTTACCATTCCACCGTCATATCATCAAGAAATATGGTTAGTGTCTTCCTTTCAATGCTTTGTGGCTATTGGAGTTGTTTAGCATGTGGGTACAGAATTTTATGTTCCTAAATTTTGCTTTTTCTTTAGTTCGATAAATTTTTATGAGTAATATTAGCTATAATTATATATTTTTTTATTTTCTCGCTAAGTAATAAGATTTACATTCATAAATTTATCTATGACTCACTCACTTGTGTCTTAGAGTGAAAACAGAAGGTAAGAAATAAGAATATATGTCGGATTTTTAATTTTTAATCATTAAATTATGTGGGTGTTTGGGGTTTTTTTTTATAATTTTTTGATTTTTAGCTTTTGTATGAACTAAAAAAGTCAATGTGTTTGAGAAATTGTTAAAAAAATTACTTTTTGTGAGTGAAAAAATCGATACGATATTTGCCCTTTTTGGCTCATGACAAATACTTAAGTGATTTTTTGACTTATTTAAGTGGTTCCCAAACACCCTTCTATGTTTCAATTTTCATGTGTCTAGCGATTGTATTTCTTTTGATCTTTCTTAAGTATAACAATGTATCGCCGGTCAATAAAAAAATCATAAATAAAACCAAATAAAAAGTCTTGTATCTCACAAATCTAGCAATATTATGATCCCTATTACAAATTAAAAATATTCATTTAAACTTGATAACGACACATAATATTACAATTATATTCAATATTAACTCCCAATTTTTGGCCGGATAATGGCAGGTGAGAATTCATTTAGATGGCGTTTGGGCCACTTCCAAGGGTGAACATGATGGAACCAAAACTAATAAATGAAATATTGGTGAAGAGCAGTGTTTACCAAAAGACAAAGCAAAGTCCATTTCACAATTTGCTAGTCGCTGGGCTTGTCACTTACGAGGAAGACAAATGGGCTAAGCATTGCAGAATCATGAACCCTGCTTTCTATCTTGAATGTTAAAGGTTGTGTTCCCCTTTTAATCTTCCCTATTTATGCATTTTTCCGCACCTCAAATGTACTCTTAATCGCATAATTTTTTGAAAGGGTGATTTTACTTACACCACTATTTAACTTTTTTACACCCTCCATCCCATTATACCATTAAAAAAAATGTAATTCTCATTACACCTCCAATATATTACCAAAACTAACCTTAAATTAACTATTTCATCTCTTTGCACCACTAATTTTGGTAACACGGTTTTAAACAATTTATATTATTCCGGTGTTATACTACTGGAAAAAATAGATCTCTCTAGCATTTTGTTGCTATACATTTATAGAGACACTTTCTTCCAAACAATGATTTTTTTAATTTGTGGTGGGTCTGTTGATAATACAACGCTAATTAATTTAAATTATTCCAGTGTCATGTTGCCGTCCAATTAGATAATAACAATAAATTAATTTGGGCCACTTGTAAAGTGCATGTTCAGTGATACATTGTTATACAAATGGGATTACTCTAGTATCATGTTGCCAAACTAAAATAGAGTTGTCTAGGCCCCTATCGCTGAACATTGAAATATTTACTTTTTTCTTGAAGCATCTATAAAAAAATTCATAAATCAAACACGCATCCATAAAATTATACATAAAAAGTATCTATAAAATTATTCATAAGAACATCAAGTCTACGAATATCCATAAAGTAATCATAAAATTTGTCATTGTTTGCATCCATCAATCAAACATATTATCACAATTTGTCTTGGTAATTTGTAAGTAATTTTTCCCCTTTATTGAAATAGACATCCACACGTTTTAGAACCTGTTAATCTCAATTGTTCCTCCTTGACTTTTCTATTGTCACTACAAGAATTTTCACTTTTGGCGACTAAATTTTTAGTCGCCAAAAGTTTTCTTTTAGTCGCCTATAGTCTTTAGCGACTAAATGTTTCGGTCGGAAAATTAGTAGTGAAAGAGTAGTCGGGAAATCTAATTGCCGACTAAAGCTAATTTAGTCGCCAAATGTATACCTTTGCCAACTAAATATTTAGTTGCCAATAGGTTTGGAAAACAATTCCGGTAGCAGTTATGTGGTGAGTATGGAGAAGTGGAAATGACTGTTTATTTAATAAGGTACAACCGGATTGGAATGCTTTGGAAGAGCTAATAAAGGCTAGAGTAGCTTTGTGGGTAGCCTCATCTTTGAAGGGGTTTAATTATTCGGTGCACGATGTTATATATAACCTGAATCAAATCTGTCTCTGTGTGTAGTTATTTGATGTCTTGCTAAAGCTCTATGGTTTGATTCTTTTTTTGTTGCTGAATTGGAAATCTGCATCTGTGCTATTTTCTGCTGCTCTGTATCTAAGTCCTGGTTTGATATGTCTGATCCATGGGCTGCATTATGTTGATGTTTATGAATCTGTTTTGTCCTGAAATTGGAAGGGTTCAGGTGGTAGGCTGATGAGTCACTGCAGCTATTAATTGCTGTCTTGAATCTATTTTGGGTTGGCCTTAGAAGGCTGCAGTTGTTAAGGCTGAAGCTTTGTGTGTTGTTGGTGTTTGTTGTTCTACTATGGTGCCTAGGTAGTGGGTGCATGCTGCTTTGCTATGGTGTATGCTGATCTGGGTGTATTCTGCTACTGTTGGTTGGTCACTGTTTTGGCTCCTACCAGTTTATATACCAGTTGGTTTCTTAGTTCCATGTTTTAGACTAGTCTATCCTTTTTCTTGCTTTTTTTTTCTTGCTCTCTTTTGTTAGTTTCTCACCAACTGGCGCTTGGTGTTTTTTTAGCTCCAAGCTCCTCTTTATTGATGTAATATTGCACTCTGTATGTTTCATCAATAAAATTTTTGTTTTGCCAATCAAAAAAAAAAAATAGGTTGAAAAATTAATTAAATAATACATTTTTGCCGACCAATTTTTTTGTCACCCAGAGCTAATTATTTAGGCCTGGTTTGGCTTATACTATATAAGTCAAAAAGCCAAAAAGTTATTCCAAAATCCAAAAAGATATTACTATTCACCAAAAAAAAAATTTAAAAGATCAATTTTCTTCTCAAAAAGTACAATTTGAATTGATGTAAAGCAGCGGCTGTGCAGCAAAAATGCCAATCAAAAAAAAAAAAATAGGTTGAAAAATTAATTAAATAATACATTTTTGCCGACCAATTTTTTTGTCACCCAGAGCCAATTATTTAGGCCTAGTTTGGCTTATACTATATAAGTCAAAAAGCCAAAAAGTTATTCCAAAATCCAAAAAGATATTACTATTCACCAAAAAAAAAATTTAAAAGATCAATTTTCTTCTCAAAAAGTACAATTTGAATTGATGTAAAGCAGCGGCTGTGCAGCAAAAATGAAATGATTCGGTGTGATTTTCACACGCACCGTTGTTCGTCCCATGGGGGCCATTACGGGTCCCGTTTTGATAATCTGAACCGTTCAATGTGTAGAAATCGTCAAGTACTATATGTCTGCAAAAAATCACATTGATCGGATATCGATAACTATATGATCAAATCAGTTATATACAACAAATCGATGGTGTTATAATTAATGATTGAAAAATAAATAAATTTGATCAGATAGCTATCGATATCCGATTAACGTGATTTTTAATAGGTACATAGTGTTCGACGAGTTACACACATTGAACGGTTTAGATTATTAAAATGGGACCCGTGATGACCCCCACGGGCCAAACAAAACAGTCCAATGCTTTGTACAAAAATTAGCCAATAATTTCCAACTCCAATACACTCCAGCCGGTTGTACAGCTGGGGCCCACCCCTCTCTAATCATTTCTTACACACTTTTTTTATACAATTTTTTAATACACATTTTTTCATAAAAAGTCAAAAAGTTAACCCAAACCTCCATATATTTTTTTTTGTCTTTTTAGTCCAAAAAGACAAAAAGTGCACTTTTTTAGGACACCCCAAACCAGCCCTTAGTCGCCAAAAAATTTTTAACTACTAAATTTTTTAGTCGCCTAAAGCAAATACTAGTGTTTTGGCTACTAAAATTTTAGTCGCCTAAAGTCAATCTTTTTTAGCTACTAAAATTTTAGTCGCCAAATATTATTTCTTTTGGCTACTAAAAATTTAGTCGCCTAAACTCAGACATTTTTTGCTACTAAATTTTTAGTCGCCAAAAATATTTTTATTCTTCAACTTTTATTTTTAGCTACTAAATATTTTAGTCGCCAAATGTGTGTTTTTCTTTTGGTTACAAAACTTTTAGTAGCCAAAGGTATGATTTTCATTTGGCTACAAAAGATTTAGTAGCCAAATAGTTGTTTTTCTTTTGCCTACAAAAAATTTAGTAACCAAATATTTGATTTTCTTTTAGTTACAAAACTTTTAGTAGCCAAATTTTTTTTTTTTTTCCCCTTTTTATTGGCTACAAATCATTTAGTCGGCAAAAACATGATATTTTGTTTTATTACAAATATTATAATGTGTCCATAACCTGTCTGTATTCCATGCAACCTGTAATACGTGTATAAATAAAATGATACATAAACTATCAATCATTCCACAACATCCGTATACAAAAAATAAATTGCGTTAACTGTCCAAGTACATACAAACGAACTATTGTCCAAACTAAAATAATAATTTCATACAACATATACAATCATACAAAAAGTAAAACCCTCCATATACAAAAATTACATTTACTATACCATGTGAAATGACAATTTGGCATGGTACAAATTACCATCGTAATCTGTACTACGACAAAAGATGATGTATGTACCAAGCCAAAAATACATCTATGTATCACGACAAAAAATCATATATCTGTACGGCGTCAAAAGGTGATCCATCTACCATGCCAATAATTATCTGTTCGCTATCAAAAATTTCTGTATCAGGAATAGTTGATTGTACAAAAGCCAGAGACGACAAAAGTATTATATTACTTCTATACAAAAGTACAATTTCTTCTCCATACACCAAAATATCTCTGCAAGTCCACGCAACGAAGTCATCTACAAAAAACAAAAAAAAAAAAAAATTAGAATTGGACCCAAAAATGCCCAACTTCATGAATGAATTTGGAAACAAGTGACAAATAAAAATAAGTGACAAACAACCTTCCATGATGAATCAATTATCAGTCATTGTACAGTCTTTCTAAAGTCTTTTGTTATAAGGAACATTGTTAAATGCAAAACAATCATTACTAAATCTTTCATCAGTAACATAAAGCTAATGTAACAATTTTCTATTTGTATGCAACATGTATCCAAATTCTGTGGCTAAACTAATATCAAAGCCCAATGTGAATAGAAAGTATTTTTTTTACCAACTTCCTCATTATTTATTTGCAAAAGGCGCTTGAATCATTAGATTGGATATAAAACTATCAGTGCTTATTAATGTATGTCAGTGCCATTTTAGAAAGGATATTAGAACATGTGATAAAAATAATAACACACGTGTGTACATTCAAAAAATTAGCAAGTTTAAAACAAAGCGTAAACTGAGTTCATATTGGTTTCTAAATATTTTTCCCATAATTTTCCATTACTATACATCTCCAATACATTCCGTCAGTTGTCACAAGTCCTATTTGTAATGGGAAAGCTGCCCATGAGAGTCAAACAGAGGTTCGGGGGCTGTTTTGAAGTTTCACCCCCGAAACGCCCTATGTCGACTAAGTTTTCAGCGTATTTGGCTCTAAATCCCTACTTACGAGTCCGAATAACATTCTGTCATTTGTCACAAGTCATATTTGGCATGGGAAAACTGTTCGTTTCGGCCACACTGCGGTTCAAGGGCTGTTTTGAAGTTTCGCCTCCGAAACGCCCTTTTTCGACTAAGTTTTGGACGTATTCGTCTCTAAATCTCAACTTACGGGTCCGAATAACATTCCGTCAGTTGTCAAAAGTCCTATTTAGCATGGAGAAACTGTTCGTTTCGGCCACGCGGAGGTTCGGGGGCTGTTTTCAATTTTCGCTACTGAAACGCCCTTTTTCGACTAAGTTTTGGGCGTATTCAGCTCTAAATCCCAACCTATAGATCCGAATGGGGAAGCTGCCCGTGTTGGCCACATGGAGGTTCGGAGACTGTTTTGAATTTTCGCCCCTAAAATGACCTTTTTCGACTAAGTTTTGGACGTATTCGTCTCTAAATCCCAACTTACGGGTCCGAATATCATTCCGTCAATTGTCACAAGTCATATTTGGCATGGGGAAACTGTTCATTTCGACCACACGAAGGTTCGGGGGCTGTTTTGAATTTTTTCTCCCGAAACGGCCTTTTTCGACTTAGTTTTGGGCGTATTCGTCTCTAAATCCCAACCTACAGATCTGAATATCATTCCGTCAGTTGTCACAAGTCATATTTGGCATGGGAAACTGTTCGTTTCGGCCACACGGAGATTCGGGGGCTGTTTCGAATTTTCGCCCCCAAAACGCTCTTTTTCAACAAAGTTTTGGCGCATTCGTCTCTAAATCCTAACCTACGAGTCCGAATAGCATTCCGTCAGTTGTTACAAGTCATATTTGGCATGAGAAAGCTGTTCGTGTCGGCCACATGGAGGTGCGGGGGCAATTTTGAAGTTTCGCCCCCGAAATGCCTTTTTTTGACTAAGTTTTGGGCGTATTCGCCTCTAAATCCCAACCTATGGGTCCGAATAAAATTCCGTCAGTTGTCACACGTCCTATTTAGCATGAGAAAGCTGTTCGTGTCAGTCACATTGAGGTTCGGGGGCTGTTTTGAATTTTTGCCCCCAAAACGCCCTTTTTCGACTAAGTTTTGGGCGTATTCAACTCTAAATCCCAACCTATATTCCGTCAGTTGTCACAAGTCATATTTGGCATGGGGAAACTGTTCGTTTTGGCCACACGGAGGTTCGGGGGCTGTTTTGAAGTTTCACCTCCGAAACGCCATTTTTCGACTAAGTTTTGGATGTATTCGGCTCTAAATCCCAACCTATAAGTCCGAATAACATTCCGTCAGTTGTCACATGTACTATTTGGCATGGGGAAGCTGCCCGTGTTGGCCACACGGAGGTTCGGAGGTTGTTTTGAATTTTCGCCCCCGAAACGCCCTTTTTCGACTAAGTTTTGGGTGTATTCGTCTCTAAATCCCAACCTACAGGTCCGAATAACATTCCGTCAGTTGTCACAAGTCCTATTTGGCATGGGGGAGGTGTTCGTGTCGGCCACATGACGGTTCGGGGTCTGTTTTGAGTTTTCACCCCCGAAAGGCCGTTTTTCGACTAAATTTTGGCGTATTCGTCTCTAAATCTCAACCTACGGGTCCGAATTACAATCCGTCAGTTGTCACATGTCCTATTTGGCATGGGGGAGGTGTTCGTGTCGGCCACACGGCGGTTCAAGGGCTGTTTTGAATTTTCGCCCATAAAAGGCCGTTTTTCGACAAAGTTTTGGCGTATTCATCTCTAAATCCCAACCTACAGGTCCAAATAACATTCCGTCAGTTGTCACAAGTCCTATTTGGCATGGGGGAGGTGTTCGTGTCGGCCACACGGCGGTTCGAGCCAAACAGATAGCATTACAACATTATATGCAGATAACAGATAGCATTACAACAATGAGCTCAATGGATATGCAGATAACAGATAGCATTACAACGTTATAACAGCACAGCACTGGTGTTGGTGCCAAACAAAAGAATCTCCATTTGTCTATTGTTCCAACTAGCAAGTGGCCATACTCAATACTATTTGGCACATTAAATTTGTATTGTCACAGAGAGCAGCTCAATTAAAAATACACTACACTAAATCGGCATGAATAAATATGTTTTGAAGGCCATTAAACGATAGACAATATCAAGAAGCAGACATGGCAAATCAGATGCAGTCTTGTTTATGGAACTTACCTGCCGAGCAAGTGACTCAATTTTTTATACCATCGAGTACATTTCGGCTGGTAACCTAAGATCATAACCTAGATATCATCAGCCAATAAAACCTGTGATAACATCATAAATGATGATCAAGTCACATTGCAATGAAAAACAAGAACAGAAGCTTCAAGGAACTATAAATGAAGATGACAAGTGTGCACTTCACATAAATATAAGAAAGGCGAAGTAAAACACCTTAGTTTGGGTTTGGGAACTTATGTACGGTTTCGAGACCTCTTATTTCCAATCCATTCCTGTCTTATATAATTCCAAAGAAGAAGACCTGGACAAATGAAGGATTAAATTTAGTAGACAAAGAAGCACACTACTGGAGAAGTCTCATATGGGAGTGCCCTTAAAAGCTCTCTGTGGCCTAGGGGAAATGCAAAGCATTTAACTTAACAGATCAGTAATATAAAACATGTATTGTGGAAGTTACTACATGCTTGTTAAATCAGAGCGGCATGGATATTGGGGCATTTTCAAAATTTGATCAAGTGCCCAGACTCCATAGTCCACAGACCAAAAATAGAAAAAAAGAAAAAAGAATTAGTGGTTCCAACCATACATCTATCCAAAGAACCACCTCTAATCTAAATAAAGATTGATAATCATCTAGTTCACAGTTTTGGGGCCTAGAATATCTTAGAGGATGAGTAGAGGTAATTTGTCAGAAACAATGGCTAAGCAACACGTTGATTGATATTATGGGGAATGCAAGCAACCATTCTGGTAAGCAGTTAGCAATAGAAAGAATTAACTTACTTTTTGAATTTTCCATGATTTACAAATTCAGTAGGATTACTTGTGCTTCCAGCACTGTTGTGGGGATCTAGGGGCGGATTTGATGTGCTCATTGATGATCCACTTCTCTAGGACTGAACAATACTATTGTCCATCTCACAAGTGTTGGTAACGTTTACGTTTTTAGTTTATATTTACAAAAATTTTATAAACTGATTTTTGTTTATTTTTTATTTATTTTTAGAAAAACATAAACTACAAACGCGTTTGGTAATTGATATTGTCCATCTCACAAGTGTTGGTGCTCCAAAAATCCTCTGAAATGCTTGATTTCTTAACTGTTCGGCCTCGAATTCTCAGTCTCTTGGATGGCTTGTTGACAGCAATTATCAGAGGGGGCTTAGTACAACATCTAAGACAACCTCTGCTCTGTTGCAAATAAGGTTTATAACCATAAAAATGATTAGTACAAAAGAAAATGGGGAAAAAACAATGCTTTTTTTCCAATTTTTGACAAACACCTATGTTATTATTTATAACTAATTATTATTTGGTGCGTCTTAAAGTAAACTAGGCTTAATTCCTCTGCTTTTCTTTTTCTTTTCTTTTTTTTTTTCCAGCAGCAATCTCAGTTAAGTCAGGTCTTCAGAAAGTAGCGTCCATGAATTAACTAACAAGACCATGATATTGAAAAATAAGACAAGATCTGTCAATGAAGTTAAACTAAAGAAATTTGGCCATGTGGTATCTGCTTATTAGCAGAAAATCCTGTGACGGCATGATATATGCCAATTAAACATTTTGCAGAAAATTTACAAACAATACAATCCACTTATAAATGGGGCATTGGGGATATATAAATATATATAATCTATTTTCCCATTTATAAATAATGCACAATAATTGATCAATATGTCATAGAATAACCAAGTTAAAATTCCAAAAAACATGGAGATCAATATATCATGTTGTTGAAAGATGCTTGGTTTAGGAATTCATAGCATCCATATCAAATAATATTGACAATGTATCCAAACTATTAGCAGCAGATATAATTTTAAAAACAAAACAAAACAAAAACCAAGTATTATTACTTTAAACTACTTTAATGTTAAACTAATGACACAGTTAGATTACATGATGCACATGGAGCCACACATGCACAAGATAAAATGTGGTAACAAGGAAACTACATTATAAATCACCCACTTTATTCATCAAGTTGAATAGATAACACGCTTGACATCAAGACAAAGAACAATAAAAGAACAGGAAGGAATTACAATAACATAATTAAATAAATAGAATGCCTCACATCCAACAAGTTCTTATTTGTTTGTCGTAGGGAGAAATATTTGTAATAGTCAACTAGCAGTTACAAAGTATGGGCTGGCCATGGGTATTAAGCACATTGGGTGAACTTATCATTAGCTTCATTTAGAAGAGTCAAGCACAATCCCAGGCATGGGTAAAACTGAAAATGATAATTGAATTCCAAAAAATGATTATATCAGTAGGAAAATGCGAATGAAATTACAAAAGGGAGGGTTATATATGGAAAATAGAACTATGGAGACAAGATGCTTTACACACCTTTGGAAATACTATTCATTGTTGCCAGAATCCAACATGAGTATTGGATTCTTCCAACTATTTGGTTCTCTCAGTGAATCTTGTCATCTAGTTACTTCCTTTTCCATGACCATACCATCCAGTCATCCACTATAGGATGTGAAATCAAATTACTGATTGCGGCTTCAATCAGTTTTATATAAACCTCCTTCCAACACTTCTCTTTTTCAAACAATTCAGACTCAATAATTTAAGTTTATCTTTCCAAATTGTTGCAAGTGTCTCTACCACAAAGGTTAAGATGCCATAGATTCTAACAATATCTTCCCTAAATGTGCCACAAATTCCTTGAAATGTTCTCAAGCACATTTGTGTTATTATGTAAATAATAAGATTAAAAAAAATGGGATGCCTACAAAATCTTCCAACTGTTTCTATCATAGAGATTAAGATGCCTTCCAACAATATGGTCATTAAGTATGCCAAAAATTCCTTGAAATGTTCTCAAGCTATAGGTATGTCATTATGTAAATAATAACACACAAAAAAAAAGAGGGGGATACCTAAAAAAAAAAAAAAAAAAAAAGAGGGGGATACCTACATAATCCTACAAGAACCAACAATAGAACAGAAAAATACTAAAAAATCGTATGAAGGATCATGTTCAAAAAATAGTTTGCTCTAATTCAAATCACCTAATCAAAAACTCTACCCAGCCGACAATGCTTATTTGTATATACTTGCAAATTAGAAAAATCATTCTTTTTACAGCTTGAACAGATATGATGCCTCGTTTTTTAAGAAATTATTTGGAAAACAGTCTCCCAAAATTGCAGAAAAAATATTTTTTTTCCACACCATAGTACCTTTTTATCATTGAAAACAGAATCAGTTCTTAGGGATAATGCCAAACAAACCATCGCCATCCTCACCAAAAAGTCTTAAAATATTGAAAATTATTAGTTCAAAAATATATTTTTCACCAAATGGTTTTAAAATATTTAAAATCACTTGGAGTTTTATCTAACCCACTTGAAAATAATCAAAAGATACCACCACATTTGTAATATAATCTTTTCATGACAATTATTGAAAATCCACCCAAGTCGAAAAAATGTAGGTCTGATCCATTCAATTAAAACGTTAAAATTGAAATCTCATCTCAATATATGGTTCTTCCCTGCCAAAAAACACTAACCAACTTTGGAAACTTGAAAGAAATGAAAGGTGTAGCCAAAGCCATTGATTGTATATATAGTTTGACATTTTGCAATTCTGAAAGCTATTAAAACCAATACAAAACCGTCTGTGTATGAGTTGTTCTCATATTAATCTACTTGTTTTTTTTTTTTTTCCAGATAGGAGTGGATGAAAATGATCAGAACTTTGCTTTACAATCACATTTTAGCAGCCATACATGCAAATAAATACACAATCAATGTGTATGAGTTGTTCTCATATTAATCTACTTTTTTTTTTTCTTTAGACATGAGGGGAAGAAAATTATTAGAACTTTGCTTACAATCACATTTTAACAGCCATACAGCAGTTTTTGGATTCTTAATTGTATTCTCTCTTCTTTCATGATATTCTTTCTTGGGTCTAGAGGAATAAGAAATAAATTTATTAAATATTAAAACCCAAACCACTATGTGACTTCAGACTACAACAGAAGTAGAAGAAGAAGATAAGTAATTTTTGATTTGGGCATTGCATCAAACAGTTGGAGGGCGAAAGATGTAACAGGAAGAACAAATTCATGGGAAAGAACAAATGTATGAAAAGTACAAATCAACAGCTACGAATACAATTCAATATGAGGACAAACCAAACTCAGACACAGAGAGCCAAGAGAGTTCTCAATCAAGCAACCATAGGATAATGAAATTAAGAATTGGATTACACAACTAATGGCATATGGAAGTTGAAGAAGGGCATACCTCGTCTGTTTCTTGAACCAGATTGACAGCAATTTGCATGTTGAATGTTGTTTCGAGAACAGACCAATCGGTTGAATGTTGTTTGTGGAATGAACTATGTTTCTAAGTTGAGGGTAAAATACTTCAAATCTCCATGAATATATTCATTATTTACCAAGAGAGATCAAGCCTCTGCATCAAAATATATATATATATATATATACAAAACAAAAAAACCCTAAATCTAGAACAAAAATCACAACCGATTTACTCGTTTCCTAGAAATGAAACTCCTACAACATCAAAAAACAAAACAAAACAAAACAAAAAAACCCTAGAGCTATAGTGAAATGGGGAAATAGAGGAAGAGAGAGAGAGAGAGAAATACCTAAATCAAAATCAATGGGCTTGAGACGGTGAGCAATGGTGAGTGACGGTGACGATGAGACAGTGAACCGACGGAGAGCGATAGGCAGTTCGACGGGAGTGAGAGCAAACAATGTGTTGATTGGTTTTTCCTTTGGTGTATGTATCGATACATACAGAGAAATAAAATAAAATAAATATTAAACATAAACCAAAATCAGGCGGCAAATTTGTGTTCCCACCAAAAAAAATTTTAGTTTTATTCCTGAAATCATTTTGATCACTGAAAATAACCTTTGCCGACTAAGCAGTTTTTTGGTCGCCCATTGAGTAACTTTTTAATAACTAAATTGTATTTTAGTCACCTATTGAGCGCTTTTTAGCGACTAACTATTTTTTAGTCGCCTATTGAGTCATTTTTTAACTACTAATTGTATTTTTAGCCGCCATTAAGTAATACAGCTACTAAAAAATTTTAGTAACTAAAATATGAACCATTGTCGACCAATACAAATTTTAGTCGCCAAAGGGCTGACTTTTGGTGACTAAATTCATTTTAGTCCCTAAATTTGGTCGCCAAAAGTGCGAATTGTTGTAGTGTGTCTCTATAGTAACCACTTCTTTTACAAGCAAGTGTAAGTCTTGGTTTTTTGCCATTGCTTCCCGCATCTAATGTTTTTATAACAATAACAAATACAGTCTTCTTTCTAATGTCAGAAACTCATTTAATTAATGTTTCATGACTACGAAAAATCTAAAGATAATAAATACATTTATACGTCAAATTATTAATAAAACTCAATCCAAATTAAAAATAAGTAAAAATCGTATTCATAAAAAAAAAACTTAACAAACCTCATTTGTAATGAATTCATGACTAAAGTCCACTAATATTGTAGTACTTGCATTGTTGCAATAAGTATAAGTATAATCTTTCCAAGCAAAAAAATATAAAATAAAAAAAAAAATTGAAAATACATGGTAATGAGAAACTGAACAAATTAAAAAAATTCGGTTTGGGGTTACCGAAAATGTATCTTTCATTCGGTAGTTGGTTACCAGACTTATATTTTTTGTTCGACAATGTGATGCCGGACTATTTTATTTTGTTCGATTTCGAACCACCGAATGAAAGTCGAATACCAATCTAGAAAAACGAAACAAAAACCTACCAAATAAAATAAAAAAACTCACCATTTCACTTTTTTGATGGTTCTTCACCACCGTTTCTTCATTCATTGCTTTCTTTAATGATCAAAATACTATGATTCTCACTTTTTGAAAAGAGATGTGTAAAAGAAAAGAAAAATTAAGAAAGGAAAAAGAGGAATAGGGATTGAAGACCAAGGGATGTAAGAAGATAACAAAATATATTTAATTTTTGTGTTTTGTCCTTAAAGGTAATTTTGCACATGGATAAAATTAGAAGAAAAAAAAAAACTCATATAAAGGGAGTAAAGAGATAAAGTAGTGGTGTAAGTAGAATCACCCTTTTTGAAATTATCAATTTATTAGGTAAATTACACTTATCCCCTAAAGTTTTATTCATTTCCCATTTTGGCCCTTTAAGTTTGATTTTTTCACATTGACCCTTTATCTTTACAATCCTTCTCACTTTCGTTCTTTATGTTTGCAATCCTTCCCACTTTAGCCATTTAAGTTTGATTTTTCTCACTTTAGCCCTTCATGTTTGTAACCTTTCTCACTTTGACTCTTCATGTTTGCAATCCTTCCCATTTGACTCCTAAACTAACTTTCATCAAAAAAAAGTAGCAGAATTTGTCACATCACGAACACTGACAAATGATATGTTCTCTAGTTTACCTTTTGTTTTTTTGCATAACCCCATAGTGATCCAAAAAAAAATTTGCGTATTTCTTGCAGAATATGGTACCAGCAATCTATTTGAGTTGCAGTGAAATAATGAACAAATGGGAGGAGTTAGTGTCAGGAAAAAAAAATCATACGAGTTGGATGTAAGGCCTTATCTCTATAATTTGACATCTGACGTGATCTCTCAAATAGCATTTAGAAGTCAGTTATGAAGAAAGAAGGAGAATTTTTAAACTCCAAATTGAACAATCTCATCTTTTGAGCAAAGCTCAACAATCATTAATTCCAGGATCAAGATATATGTGTCTAATATACTGTAGTAATTTGGTAAATAGCAATTGAAAATGTCATACAAAAAATAAAATGAAAAAAACAATTTTGAGTTTGTTTTGAATTCCATTTTAGGTTTCTACCAACAAAGACGAATAGGAGAATGAAAGAAATCAACAACAAAGTGGAAGCACTTGTAAGGGAAATAATCAATGAGAAAGAGAAAGCCATGAAAATGGGAAAAGCTGGTTGGAATGATAATTTATTGGGTATTCTACTAAAAGCCAATCTAAAAGAAATTGAAGAACATGGAAATGACGAGGCAAGAATCAATATTCGAGAGGCGATCGAGGAATGCAAGCTATTCTATTTTGCTGAGCAAGAGACCACCGCTAATTTGCTTGTTTGGACAATGGTTTTGTTAAGCTAGCACCAAAACTGGCAAACTCGGGCAAGAGAAGAGGTTTTGCAAGTTTTTGGGAACAATAAGCCAAACTACAATGGGTTAAATCGCCTTAAAAGTGTAACAATGATATTGAGTGAGGCTCTTAGGCTGTATCCTTCTTCAATAATGCTTATGCGAGTTATTCACGAGGAAACAAATTAAGGGATATGACATTACCTGTGGAGAATATGTGTTATGGTACCAACAATCTTTGTTCACCATGACCGTGAAATTTGGGAAGAATATGCAGAAGAGTTCAAACTAGAACGATTTTTAGAAGGAATTGCTAAGGCAACTAAGAAACAACTATCATTCTTTCCTTTTGGAGAGGGTTCGAGAATATGCATTGGGAACAGTTTTGCAATGACGGAAGCAAAAATGGCAATAGCACTGATTCTTATCAATTTCTCTTTTGAGTTCTCTCCTTCCTACACTCATGCTCCATCTTTCATCTTCACACTTCGTCCTCAATATGGTGTTCACTTGGTTTTACACAAGATTTAGTGTCAAAATCTTAGTAAAAAATGTAATATCAATGAAGTTAGAGCCCCAAAAAACGAAAGTTATGCTCTTTGGCATAAGTGAAAATGGTTGATAGTTGTTTCATATTTGTAGCTGCTTGTGTAATATCAGTGTGTGTAAATGAATGTAAGTGTATTTTGGGAGGTTTGAACAATAAAAGCTTTTGTCAAATAATGTATTGTATAATGTTTGCATAATGCTCTTGTTGGCACCATAAAATATTATTATTATTATTATCATTTTCAAGACGCGTGGTATCCTCTTATTCATTTGGACGTTAAAAGAAGTTATAGAGATGATGGAGAATATGAAGGACAAAGTGGATGAGTGGAAGGACACATAGCAAGACAAGAATGAAGATGGAAGAAATGGGTAGTTACTAAGTAGTTATTATTGTATTTTTTCATCTATAGATAACCATTAATGGCTACATTGTAAAGGATCCAGAATTCATAATCAAAGACAATTGATTTCAATATTTCTTGTCATTTTCCTTATCTTAGGAGTAATTTAACATAGATTTATATTTCGAAGTATTTATTTTCAGTATTTCCTTTTCGAAGCATTTTATGCACTTCCTTTTCGAAGCATAGGAGTAGAGGTAAGTAATTATTACTTTGATTGTTCACTCAATCGTCTTTCTCTGTTCCTCTTTTTCTTTTACTTTTTCTTTTCTCTACACTTGACAATTTTGAAGTCCTCTTCGTTGAGGCAAAAGAATCGTCAACACAATCACTTGATAATTGGCTTGAATTTAATCTGCAAGGATTTTTCAATCCTTGCTGGCACGCTCGCAATTACAAAAATAACCTTCGAAAGCCAGAAAGCCAACATATATTTTTGGCACGCCCGATGGGACGTCAAGTGTAAAAAATGAAAAATGAATTGGATTTGTCCATTTCCAATAGCCTAGATAAAATCTATTGGCATAAACAAAAAAAATTGGATCTTCAAGAAGAGATCCATTTTCTTGATGAAAAAAACTTTCATCCCTTACAATACTATTTGGTGGAAGAAAAAATGCACCATTTAATTGGAGAAATTCATCAACTTGATATGAAAATTTGCCAATGGAATGATGAGTTATCAACTCTCATTACCAAGTCTTTAACTGAGGCTTTAATGGCCGGAATTGGTGAATTTTTTCAGAATTTTTTCATGGTTGAAAATAGCAAAAGCAAAGAGTTGATTTCATCAATGACTCGAGAGGTTCAAGAACCCATTTTTAAAGAGCCAAATTATGAAATTAACATAATAAAAAATCATGTTCTTGAACCAAATTTGGCTAAGAATGATGTTCCATGCATGACTCGGGGGGTCCAAAAACCAAATTTTAGAGAGTCAAGTCATGAAAATAACATATTTTCAAACATGGCTAAGAATGATGAACAATTTGATGTTCTTGAATTTGAATTTTTTTAAATTGTTCAAAATGTCAAGTTGTTTGAATTTTTAAGTCCATCTTGTACTATGGTTCTTGGTGTTCAAAACCTGCTTTGGATTTGTGGATCACACCAAAATATAATTCTGATGATGTGGCTAATAAAATTAACAAATTGTTCTTATGAGTTCGAAGCCCTAAGAACAGGGGATGACCATTTAAAATGTATGAACCTGACTAGGAAAAACCTATGCATTTAAATAAGTGGTTGAGAATGACTTATCTTTTCAAATTGATGCCCAGTTGTTTGTATGTACACAATCAAAGCATCAAAGATACATTCGAAGCGTTAAGAGTTGTTTCGAAGGATGATTACTTCACCTTTGAAGCTGTATAAAGCTTTGAAGATACATTCGAAGCATCAAGAGTTGTTTTGAAGGTTGATTACTTCACCTTCGAAGCTGTATAAAGCTTTAAAGATACATTCGAAGCATTAAGAGTTGTTTCGAAGGTTGACTACTTTACTTTCAAAATTGTATAAAGCTTCGAAGATACATTCGAAGCATCAAGTCTAACTTTGAAACTTCATTATAAGTATCATCATCCTATATCAATGTTTCTAACCTTCGAGGGGTGATGTTGTTTCTTCAAAGCTGTGCCACAAGACCTTCGAACGATGAATTTGGTCTTTTATACCACCTTCGAAGCTTGTTATTGGTCATCTAGTCATAATTTCATACTCATTCGAAGCACTTTATTGGTGCTATTATATCATTCGAAGCACTTTGTTGATATTATTCGAAGCACTTTATTGCTTAGATTAGTCATGTGCTTGGTTCGGCCCTTCAAAAATTTAAATAAACATCATTTTTAAGGGCCGCAGGGGGTAATATTGGCACCATAAAATATTATTATTATTATTATTATTATCATTTTCAAGACACGTGGCATCCTCTTATTCATTTGGAAGTTAAAAGAAGTTATAGAGATGATGGAGAATATGAAGGACAAAGTGGATGAGTGGAAAGACATATGGCAAGACAAGAATGAAGATGGAAGAAATGGGTAGTTACTAAGTAGTTATTACTGTATTTTTTTCTCTATAAATAGCTATTAATGGCTACATTGTAAAGCACCCAGATTTCATAATCAAAGACAATTGATTTCAATATTTCTTGTCATTTTCCTTATCTTAGGAGTAGTTTAACATAGATTTATATTTCGAAGCATTTATTTTCAGTATTTCCTTTTCGAAGCATTTTATGCACTTCCTTTTTGAAGCATAGGAGTAGAGGTAAGTAATTATTACTTTGATTATTCACTCAATCGTCTTTCTCTGTCTCCCTCATTCTTCTTTTAATTTTTCTTTTCTCTACACTTGGCAATTTTGAAGTCCTCTTTGTTGAGGCAAAAGAACCATCAACGCAATCGCTTGATAATTGGCTTGAATTTAATCTGTAAGGATTTTTCAATCCTTGCTGGCATGCTCGCAATTATAAAAATTACCTTCGAAAGCCAAAAAGACAACAGCTCTTATAAAGGCTTGATAGAACATGTTTTTTTAGTCTAGGAGGTGATGCCATGAAGGAACACTTAGGAGGCGTTTAGAAACATTTTATAATTTATTATTTTTATTTATAAAAAGTATTAAACATGTTTATATATATATATATATATATATATATTTTGAAAATGAGAAAAAAAAAATCCGTAGATATGCATTTAAAAACTTGTTTTAAAAAACAAGCAATAGGGTGGTCGGTGAGAGGTGGTGATTGGAGGTAATTAGGCGATTGGAGCAGATGGAGAAAGGAGGAGGGAATGCAAAAAAAAAATTACATAATAAGGGATAAATTTATAATTTCATTTATCCAAACATGTAAGGTAAATTTAATTACTACAAAAGGTCCTAAATGGTGAATAAAGAAGCGCGAACACGGCATAGTGCCTGTTTGGTAAAACTTTTTTTTAGCTTAAATCAGCTTTTGGCTTAAATTAAGCTATATTGGTGTGTTTGGTACAACTTATGAGGCATAGATTATAGCTTAATTTAAGCCATTTTCGGCTTAAATCTGAAAGTTGCTCCAAGAGTGCTTAAAATTTTGACTTAAGTGCGCAGCTGGTGTGGGGGGCATAAAATTACTTAAATGCCCTTGTCAATACCCAAATATTACTAAAAATCCAACTATATAAATCCTATTTCACAAAACACTGTTCATTGCTCACTTGAGAGAGAGAGACAGAGGCGATTTCAGGTAGAGGTTTTTTGGCAAGGGTGATTTCCAGCAGAGGCAAACCACAGTTCTCTCTCTTCTCTCTCTCTCTCTCTCTCTCTCTCTCACGATCTGAAACTCTTACCGCCATCGTGATCTGAAACCCTAACCGGAGCATCACAATTTAGTCGGAGAACCAGAGCTCTCCCCCTCTCTCTTTATCTTCGCGATTTGAAACCCTAACTGGAGCATCGCAATTTGGTCAGAGAACCAGACCTCTCAACGAACCAGAGCTCTCTCTCTCTATCTTCACGATCTGAAACCCTAACTAGAGCATTGCGATCTGGTCGGAGAACCAAAGCTCTCAACGAACTAGAGCTCTCTCTCTCTCTCTCTCTGCGATCTGAAACCCTAACTACCGCCATCCCTCTCTCTCTCGATCTGCGTTGTTTGTCACTGTCGCGGTCGCGGTTTACATTAAAACCCTAGCCACCGGCAGATCTTCGCTGACAGCGTTAAAACCCTAAAACAAATCAATATTAATTAAAAAATCAATATTAATTGGTATTAATTATTAATAAATAAATATTGTATATTTTTATATTAATTAAAAAAGAAAAAATTGTATATTTCTAAAGAAAAAGAAAAAAAATCAATATTAATTAAAAAATCAATATTAATTGGTATTAATTATTAATAAATTAATATTGTATACTTTTGTAATGAATTAATTATTAATTGATACTAATTAACAACAATTGTTGATTATTAATATTAATTGATACTAATAAAAATTAATTATTAATATTAATTTATACTAATTAATAATTTTAGTATTAATTGAGACTAATTAAGCCATTAATTGATTTACTATTAATAATTTTAGTATTAAATGATGCTAATTAATCCATTAATTAACACTAATTAATTTATAATGAAAAAAATGAAATAATTTTATACTAATTGAAACTATTAATAATTTTAGTATTAATTGATGCTTATTAAGCCATTAATTGCCACTAATTAATTTATAATAAAAAAATGAAATAATTTTGTACTAATTGAAACTATTAATAATTTTAGTATTAATTGATGCTTATTAGGCCATTAATTGCCATGAATTAATTTATAATGAAAAAAATTAAATAATTTTATACTAATTGAAACTATTAATAATTTTAGTATTAATTGATGCTTATTAAGTCATTAATTGTCACTAATTAATTTTTAATAAAAAAATGAAATAATTTTATACTAATTGAAACTATTAATAATTTTAGTATTAATTGATACTTATCAAGCCATTAATTGTCGCTAATTAATTTATAATGAAAAAAAATGAAATAATTTCATACTAATTGAAACTATTAATAATTTTAGTATTAATT